ATAGTCGATTCAAATTGAACTGAATTTTAGGTTAGATTAAGTTTGAAATTATTAGATATTAAGGAAATATTAGTATTTCTAAATTAAGATATATATTGTTTATAGATGTCGATCCATATTTGATCTAAACTATAAATACTATCGCCAATGCTTCTAATACTTGCAAGCTTACACAAAAATTATTTATTATTAATTTATGATATGCATTGAGAAGTTCGCCTGTCTTGATGAAGGCAGGCAACAGGGGATCCCTATCGTACAATAGTGGGCCCCTTTGCTCTTTGGTCCATAACTGGCCTGCGGTAGTTGGGGGCCCACCGCTTGTTTCTGTGATTTCTGATGAGCTGAATCGGCCACTTGTCGTGGGATCAATTGACCACTACTGGGACCCAAGCGGGGAGGAATCCAATTCAAGTATCACGCGGCCGAGATCCGTCCGAAGATTCCATGAAACCATTTCACGGCGTACGCGGCGACTCCACAGGAGACCGTTCCTGTTCTCGCCCTGTCATCTGTCTCCGGGATTCTAATCTTTCCAAATCCTCCTGTTTCCAAGCAGCGATTTTTGTGGTTAAACCCGTATTAAGTCGAGGCGTTGCCTTGAGGGTTTTCGATTGGGAGGGGAGCAATGGAGTTGCTGAAGAGACAAGCAAGCAAGTGGAGGGATCAGGTCGCCAAGCAGCAGCAGGTAAATGATCCATTACGTTTCCATTTTCTTGATTCTAGAAAGCGTTTCAGATCTGATGATTCACATGGAATGGTTAGGGGGAGGAAATACGCTCTTTCCTCTCCCCATTCGCCCTCCAGTGCATGAGTACCTGAAATGGGATTGAAAAGATGCGCCTTTTCTTGTGTGTGTTTAGAAATTAATGACTTTGGTTGCGTTTGTCATTGCAAAAGTATGCATGTGGAATACATTCGTGAATGCCTTGGGAGATGAGGATGATGAAGTTCCGGTTAACACCAAGCAATACGTTCTCCAGTTGGATGAAGAAGGCATTAAACGCAACATGTTCTGGCGAAATCAAGTCTTCAGTCGTACTTGCGATTTGCAGTGTTATGTACGTGTTGCAGGAAAGCTGAAGAAATCTGTCCGGAAGGGTGCATTTAACACAATTTTAGAGTGTGTTCGAGTGTTTCTTTTATATATCAAGAGATCCTCACTTTTTGACTCATTTTTCTTCTCAGAATGGCAATTTGTGCCTCCTGTTTTCAACAAAACTTAAAGCCATGGTAACATATATTTTGGATCATTGATTTACCAAATGAAACCTTAAGTCCATCCTTGCAGCAGATCACATGATTACATAATAAAATCATCACTGCATATCGAGTTTTACTTCAATGCTTGGGGTTAATCATTAAGTATATTTCCTTTATGTGTTCCATTGATGTTCCAAAAAGTTCTGTCCATTTAGAATCATAACTATTTCATGCAAATTCCAAAGATGGTGAATTCCAAGATGTCTATATGAACACTGGTGATCTATTGACATGCTTTAAATTTGAACTTTTTAGATAGTACTGTACTCAGTTACAGAGTTTGCTGTATTTTATGTTCACGTTAATCCTGTGTAATTTACATAGATTAGGTTGGAAGTTTCTCATATTTCCATCTTAATTAACTTCAGGTAGTGATAAAGCAGTTTAGGGCACTTGGTTATCAGAGTTCTGATGCAATGGTTGTAGATGAAATGGAATCGCATCAACATCGGCAAATAGAGACGTTATGTAAATCTACTCGTGCAGGAAGGGTAACAAATAATGTGGCTTTTCTATGTTGCTTCTCATCAATTTTCTCTCAGAATTTATTGTCTGTCCCATTGCTTGCTTTCTGCCAAAATTTCACACAGTGTAGCTTGAATTAATCATTGTTATTTTCTTATAAAGTCTATTCCTTATGAAGTCGATCATTATTATTTATTATAAAGTTTCATGCAGTGTATGTGAATCTATGAAATTGCTACAAAAGCAATTCCCTTCCATAGATTACCAGTTTCATTCACAGATTCATATCTGAAGATTGTAAAGGTGGTGGGCTATGTGAAATATGATATGACATACTGAGTTTATGGTCTTACTAGTCTTTTCTGATTTCAGGATTTGCAAAAGGACATTATCCGAGCTGCTGAAGCCTTTGCAACCATAGGGCACAAACATGTTGAGATAGGTGATTCTGTAATGCCATTTTTTCTCATTAACACAATTTTCATCTGGAAATTTATCATTGTAATTGTTTGTTCGGTTTATGAACTGCATAAACAATGTTGTATAGTTGCAATTATGTCATTTTTTTTTTCTCAATAAGGGACAACACTATCTGAGGATTGTTGCAAATATGGAGGAGAGAACCAAGCTAGCGAGACAATTCTAGCCAAAGCGGCAGCTTTGTATGATGGTGCACTAAAAGATGTTGAGAAAGAGCATGAAGATTTCAACACATTTTTATCTTCACAGGTTTATACATAATTTTGTGTAAATGTGCTCACACAACAGCCTTATAGATCTTACTATGGCAATTCCATTTATGAGATTCCTTTATATCTAAGAAGTCACTTAATTATTACTCATTGTCCATGATGGTCACTATTGTTGACACTGATCTTTTCCATTTATCTTTTTTCTTGTCTTGACTAGCACAATCATTCCATCTGAGATATGGAAGCTAATATTTCACTAGCTATTTCTTTTCCATTCTCCCTTCATTATTCTCTTTTTCTCCAAACAATTTGTCCCTATCGACATTCACAAAATATATACAAGTTAATCAGCTATCTGTCCCTTTTCTTATACATGCATTGGTGAATTAGATCTATAAAATATGATCCATGCAAAAATCTTTTCCATTGCATGTACTAGTGTTTGGAACTTTTTAATGATCTTGTGTTAAATCCTTCACACATGGAATTGATCTTTCTTTACTTTGAACAGTGTGTTATGTGATCTTGCCTCTAAAATTTACTTTTCTCGGTGAATTGATCTTTCTTGTCTCAGATTATGGACCCACTGAGAACAATGGTTACTGATGACACACTGGAAAATGCAGGAAATCTTGCTCAACAGTACAACCGCGTGAGACATGAAGCTGAGACCCTGGTAAAATTTGTCTGTTTTACATACTACATTTATTGACTTAATTGATTGCCATGGCTTCCTTTGACACCAAATCTTAAGCAGGCAGCAGAAGTTTCAAAAAGGCAATCTCGAGTAAGAGGAACTTCCATTCTTGAAAACACTGCAAAAGTTCAATCATCTGAAGCTAAAATGTATGAACTCAAAGCAAACATGACACTGCTAGGAAAGGAAGCTGCCACTGCTCTAGTTGCTGTTGAATCACAACAACAAAGACAGACAACTCAGCGCCTTGCTAGTTTGGTATGAACATGTGGATCCCTCTCTTTAGGTTACCAACTGGGGAACATTCTTTACTCCTTTTTGTCTTCTTCTTCTTATCATGAATTTTGTTGAAGGTGGAGGCAGAAAAATTGTTCCATTTAAGACTAGCTGCTATACTTGATGATGTTGAAGCTGAGGTATCCTTATTTATTGCACATTGTAGACTGAAATATCCATTTTATGGGAGATTAAACTGTAATCCTGCCTAAAAATTTGTCCAGATGATCACTGAAAAGCAGAGAAAAGTGTCTGCTCTTCCTTCTGCTCCATTCCATAAACGCTCTGAGAAAACCTTATACTTTCTTGCTGAGGTAAGTTAAATAGAAGATTGGTGGGGATCTTTTGGAAGATAAAATTTCTATTCATAAAATGGAACATGTTTCAGGCTATCTATCAGTTCAGTGCCACTTCTGAGAAGGAGCTGAGTTTGGAAGTTGGTGACTATGTTGTTGTTCGACAGGTTAGTTTTTTAATGTCAACTTTTGAAGCTGAGATTTCTCTGGAAATATAAAATTATGTGTAATTCAAACTATATGCTCAATGGACTATGTGCCAGCAGCTTGTCAAAAAATAATTCGTAGCTTCTAGGAAGATGGGATTGGATCTAAAGCATGCAAAAGATGTTAGTCACACAAAACTGGCTTTAGACTAGATTGTTGTCAAATAGACCTCTATATCACAATGCAATTGTCACTTAGAAGGGGCAGTGAATTAAAAGGAAAGTGCATTTTAGAGAGGAAAACCCAAAAATATATTTATTTTTGTTCTATTTTGATTTTTAAACCATATAGATTTCTTATGGTTCAAACTAAAACCAGAGAACTATTTCACAGATTAGATCACAAAAGTTTTGAATTTTTAATATTGAAATATTAGAGCATTTCAACATTTTATTTTCCTTTTCAATTATGTTTTAACTTTACTTTGCTACTTGGTTAGTTGAAAGATGATACGTCAAATTACTTCACAATATGATCGTAGGAGAGATAATACTGGTTAAATACTGAGATGAAAATTTTGATCGTTCATGCACGAGGGATGATACTTTACCTTAAGATGGTGTTTAGTGTTTCCAAATCCTTAAACGTAATCACTTAATGATTATTTTAATGTTTATCAGTTGTCTTAATTGAAATCCATATATCTTACTTTTTACTTCAATAGTTGAAGGCATAATTTCATCCTTTTATTAAGGTAGTTATTATAATTATCCAATTAATAAAATAACTTTTAAGGTTTTTAAAATAATATCAGCATTTTTTATATAAAAATAATAATGTCATAAAATCCTAACTATTTGGAATTTTTGAGTTAGTTATATAGATCTTTTATCACCATTAAGATATATAAAGTCATATTTTTATTTAAGTTAAAAGTACTTAAATATTTATTTATCAACATTCGATTCTCATTACAGGTGGTGTTAGTGCTAATAGTAATATAATGCTAATTCATGAACAGAAATCAAGTTTGTAGTTCCTATAAGTTGTATAATGTAACACAACTCATCAATGCTTTTTTTTTTTTGTCTTTACTGACTTGTTATCTTGGCACATTCGAGTCAGATAAAGTGCACAACATCATGAAGACTTTACATTATAATCAACTGAATGTTCCAAAATATGCAGTGATTGTCTTTGATTATTTATGATTTGTTTTACTGTAGAACTGTTGCGCATTTAGCAAAACAATCATAAGATAAGCCCATGGTCATATAATTCTATGGAAATTTGTCTAATGAGTATTGAAATAACTTTTGTTGTACAACAATTTCTTGCATCAGTAGAACGTTGGAGGTCTAATGTATTCCAAACAAAGCTTCTAAGGTTAAAGTACATATTTGTGTTGCATTATACTAGTCTTATTTGATCATATTTCTCGAGCTTAATATGGAACTGCACATTCATATACTTTGCAAATCTGGAAACAATTTTTTTAGATCTCTAAAATTCAAGAACTATTTTTTTGGGTATACATGAAAGTTCTATTTCCTAAGATTTTGTCTATGTGGTAGTTACTAGATTTGATATCTCTAGAACTCATATGAAATGTAATGGACATTGATATTTAGTTGTTCCTTGGTATAACATAGTGATGTTTTGAGCTTAATGAATACTCCATGAAGTGGCTTGTTTTGTATCAATTTTATTATTGATAAGGATGATTAGTAAGTATCTTGGATGTAATTGATTTTCAAGTGCCTAAAATATGTTTCATATCTTTGTTTGATAATTATATAACATCATCTAAATAAAGTTAATATGATATTATTGTTTTGTTTGTTGCTTTTAATTTGTGTTTATGCTTGAATCTTTTGTAGTTATAAATTGATGCCAAAGCTAAAAGATGCTTGGATGAATTTATCTTATCATCTCTATGATAATTAAATTATTTCCATAATATTTAAATGAAATATTGTAATTCTACATCAACTTTGAGATGTGGGGGCTGAAATTATTAAAAAAATATTGAAGAATGATTGTATGTATTGTGGGAGATTTAGTATATGTTAGTATATATGCTTACCAAAATTCTATTACAAGGATTATGAAAAAGTTATGGACATGTAAAATCATGGAAAAAAATGCTATACACACTTGAATTTCTAAAAAGTTTTTTTTTAATGTTAATTTGTAGATGCTAAATTATCTTGGAAATGTAATAGCCTTTGGATTATATGTAATGGAATTAGTATTTATATGTTCATTGGAATTTTTATATTGACATTTGCCAATGTATGTCAATTATTATATGAAACATGAAATGAATTACACATTTATTCTTTTCATAAATACCATCATAAAAATTGGTATGATTATATAATTTATCATAATACCTTTGTAAACATATAATAAAAGGCCTGTTATATCATTGAGATGATAGGTTAGTATGTAATTAGATCCCAACCTCTGTGATAAGTGATCACTTGAAGGAGGTTCAATGTGATATAAAATATTTATTAATTTGCCAATAAGTATATTAAAAAATATAAAAATATATTAGTGCATGAATGAATTTTAACTTCAAACTCTGTTCAGTAATTGTTTATTATGTATGTGTAGAGGTATAGAAAAGTTAAATTCTAAGAGACATATAGGGTGGTATTTTCTACAACACATGACTCTATATATGTTCTTGCTATAAGTTTTATTTCATATAAGAGTACATGTATATAATGATATTACGGAATTGGGTAGTTCGTAAAAGCTCTTTTGAATACTAAGATTTTTACATACACCCATTAATGTACAATCTTATGATTAATTATCTGTACTATATGTGTAATTGTATAAGTTTGATCTAAAATAATCATAGTTCAAGATTTAGTTCACTCTATTCTTTCATTATATTCTTTCATATAAAAGATATTTACACTGTGAAATTTAAACTTTACAAAATTACTATACTGATCATATAATATATGCATTGAGCAACACTTAACTATTTTTTTTATTAATTTATTAATTTAAAATTTTTAATTTTTATGGGAAATGTTGGAATTATTTTTTAAATGTCAAATTTTAATTAATTGGATGGTTATATAACTACTTTAATAAAATGATATGTCTTTTGAGATAATACTCTTTCAAAGTGATACTTATAGGGCTCTATATAGAGTCATAAAACAACCTCAATTGATTTCCTGAGAGATAAATAAAGATCATATTTGTTAAAATCGAATCAAAAAGCAATCTAGCCAAGCCTTGGATTACTAGATCATGGTTGAACATAGGTCAATAACCATATGTTTAATTTAAAAATATTTAAAAATATATAAAATAATTATTTAGCTATAAAATGTTTTCCAACACCAAACACCAAACAATGGTTGACTTCCTACAACGAGAACTATTTTTTCCTTTACTAAGAATAGGAATTAATAAATAATGGGATTTTGCCAGGATGCTTTATGTTAGAATTGATGCTTTAGACTATACAAAGGAGAAGAGATTTTGGCAGGAACACACTCTTAAATTGAGTGATAATCTTTCATTTACATTCTGTGATCTTGATCATGTTTTGTTTACTTTTCAGCCAAAGATAATAATGAAAACATTCTCTTTTCTCATTGTCTAAACAAAAACAAATCAGATCTAAAGTACATATTGTGAAGATTTAAATGCTTACATACTATGCTTTATTTCCAGGTTTTATCCTGAAATGCTATTTCAAACTGTAATCCACCAGTCTTTTATTTCGGACAATTTTTGTTTCCTACCTTCACATCCAAGTCGGACTAACCTCTTTCACTTCTCCATCAATTATGATGCATCAGCTTTGGAAATACTACCACAGAAAACCATGAGTCATGGAGGTCTCTATTGCACCAATTAAGAAAAAAATATGGATAGTGCTCAAATCATTACTTGAACAAAGCTACAAGTACATCTTTATGTATTTGATGAGATTCTGACATGCATTGCTGGTTCTAAAACAACAGTGCCACCAATGACATCTCAGATTAAGCTTCGACTTCTTTTGTTCTCTTCATTCCTGAGATGAGATCTTAAATTTATGTAGATCTTTAGCATAGATGGATCTTTACATCATGTGCTTTTACCCTTGAAAGCTCAGAAAGTTGATACTGGGAAGGATGGATAGGTGCATTATTCCAAATAAGTTCAGTTCACCTCCAAACACAGAATGAATGGGTTTACAAAACTCATCAACATACTGAATGTGACAGGCTCGAATCCTTACTGATACCAAACATTGTGATTGTATGAGACCTGTGTAAAGACCTCCATTGTTCTCATAGACACCACATCCTCTTCTCTGATGCATCTTCACCAACTCCTTGGCTTTTTCTGTCCCATTGTTTACTTGTTCTAGTTGTGATATCTTGAACTCATCACTGACTCTGCTATTTGCATTGTGTCGACAGCATCATTTGTACTTACTGGTCTTTTGTGTTCATCAAATCAGGTCTCGCCATCAGGGTGGTCTGAAGGGGAATGTAGAGGCAAGGCAGGGTGGTTTCCATCAGCATATGTGGAGAAACGCGATGACATCCCCCCCAACAGAAGTCTTAGCTTAATTGCATCGTAGAAATTTAGTTAAACGCGATGGCTTGCACATTATTTAGGAGATGTGTTTATCTATTCTTTTATGTATCAATCCACATTCAAGTCCTTTATATTGAAACTTCTATTCTTTGAATTGGTATCTTCAGCTGTGTCTTCCTTGAAGAACTGATGCAATGTTTGGTTGATAATGAGGTAGAAGATGCAGGCAAGACATGAAATTGATTGATCAAACTGCTGTAAGGTCTGTAAAATTATCTTCGGATTGAACTGTTGCTCTGAATCATTTTTCTTACTCTCTTTATTCTTTGTGAAATATCTTTAGTTTCAGATCTATCTACAATCCATCACCTTCTGATGAACTTCTAAGCATGGATTTGCTCGCTTGTGCTTAACTTAGAATGTTTAGTCTCACAGATCTATCGACAATCCATCACTCTCTTCTTGCCGTTTTGTTCAACGATGTCGTTAAGATTCACGCGCTTGCGGACGGCTGGACTTCCATCCGTAATCTCCGCTCATCAAGCCGCACAAATTTCAAAGTACACGCACGAGATCTTCATGTGGTCGTTGTGATTCGCGTCGGAATAGGATCGACGGCGTGGATCTATTCCGGTGGTAACTGGGGTTGGGGTTCCTCTCCTGCCACGTGGTAGGCATCCCCTGGCTGTTTTGGGTTGGGGGTATCGTTCTTAATGGGTCGGGCTCAGCCGCAAGAATCGGATTCGGGTCCACTCACACAAACCCACGAACCACCTTCCTCCGGAGGATAGCCGTTGCTCAGGCTGGGCCACCGACGTCACCGGTTCAAATTCTCGACCGTTGCAATTCCTAACGTTACCTTTCTCCTCTCGTAAACGAACACCGAGAGAGAGAGAGAGAGAGAGAGAGAGTAAACCCGACCATCCCCTTCCGTCCCTCCTTCTTCTTCCCTTCCTCCTCCGATTCTTCTCTTTTGAGGCGTTTACATCCCAAAATGACCCAAATTTGGCTTCTTGCCGGTCGCTTCTGATATTTGCGAAAAGGGAAAAGAGCGAAAGGAGGTATTTTGGAAGGTAACGATGGCGTCTGGCGATGCCGGCGGCGGAGGCGTGGACGTCCTACTGATGGACGAGGCATACGAGTTCAGCGCACCGAGGTTCTTTGATTTCATCAACGGGGAGACCGAGGAGTACATCAAGAGGGCTGAGCTCTGGTTCGAGACCTCTCTCAGCTACGCTCCTTCTCGTAAGTTCCTTCGATCTGGATTTGTCCTTGTTGCTTCTGTTGTAGTGTTTTGTTATGAATAAGAATTCTGACAGTTTCTTAATGTCGTTAATGGTTCGGTTAGGGTTTTGATTGCTGGTATTAGGTGTTGACGATGAGTTTAGGGTTTTGTCTCGAATTGTCGTTGTTTGAACTGGAATTTGGAGCTTTAGGCGTGTTTCTGTTAAGTATCGAATCACGGTTTTTTGGTTCCAAAATTTACATCTTTCCCGTCGGTATAATGTGGGGATCAAAGGGTTCTCTTCTGTGTATTTTTTTCCCTTTTCTGGAGGTTTTTATATCTTTGAGTCGAAATTAGGGCTTAAACATGTTTCTTTGCGTGCTTTAGCTTTCGTGCCAAGGATCAGGGAGGGTAGATCTATCCAAATCGACAGTCTCTGTGATTTTGGAAACGTTGAAAAAGAACAAAAGGTGACTTTTTGTTCCTGCTTTTGTTGTATTTTGTCGAGCGTAAAGGTGCCCTTTTAGATAATTTGTTCACTGTCTACTCGTTTGTCTCAATTAATATCAGGTTGAGGTATCATCCAAAGATAGCCATCAAACGGATCCAGCACCTGAAGTAGATAACACAGCAAGGTTGAAAATTCGTCACTCTAGTAGACTTCCTTGCTTTCGATGCTGATAAATAAATTCTGCTTCTCCTCTCCATTGACTCCCAAAATATGCTAACTGGCTGAGACCTAAACTGGAACTTTTCTTCTACTCGTGCATTCAGAAATTATCAGCACAAGCTTGCAACTGACATGGAGGTCAAAGCCAAAAAAGACACCGAAATAGAGGTCAGAAATAATATTCTTGAGCTCCTAAGTTCAAAAAAAAAATCTGGTTTATTAATAACCATTCTCTTCATTTGTTCACTTCACTTAGTCCTCAAGTTTTAAAGGGTTTTATCTGTTTGTCCAGGTTTCTGAGGTTGAGTGTTGCCAGACTAATATTGTTCCTCAGCAGGAGACAAGGTTTTCTCTTCAGAGACTTGTCGATTCTACTTGTCCTCACTCACTTGACGCATAACCAAACTGATTTAATTTTCGCTATTTAATCTTTTGATTGCTGTTTGCCATGTAACAGTTCAACATCCGTGGCAATAACTGGTACTCTGAGCCACAAAGAAGTTCCTTTGGAGCTCCCTATTGCTCTTTCAGGTGGTGCTCTGGCAGCAGGTATGATCAATTAGATACATGGGAACATTGTGCTGCCAGTAATTCGGTTAAATTACTCACATTGATTATCTTACTTGACTGAATTGACAGCATCAGCAGCTTTCACATACATAGCACAGGCAAGTTCCTTGAAAGCGATGCCACCCAGCATCGTGAACAACAATGAAATAGTTGAAGCTTGCACTCCTAGAACACAGAGAAGTCCAGTGAAAGGACCAAGTAGTGCAAAGACTTTAGCCGCTAAAAGAATTGCAAATCTGATTAGACAGCCATCGACTCTAAAGCAAAAATCCAAGTCGCCTACCCAATCTTTAAAAAGCACCAAAAGAAAGAATGTAATTAAGTAAGTGTGTTGTGTTGACAATGATATCGTTTAGAAGATATTCAGATCATGAATCCCTGTAACCGTCATATTTGTTTATCCTAGGTGCCCTAGTAATATTGCTGCAAAGAATTCCATGGGTAATGACATTGCACAAGAAAATCAAGCTGTGAAAAGGCAAAAACTGCATGATGGAAGATTTAGACAGGTTATCTTGGTAGTATCTTTATGTGAAATTTGGAATTTTCGCTTTAATTTATTTTGATACACATTTCCTTTGACATGACTATCTGCAGATACACAATGTTAAAAATGGAGTGCTATATCACAAGTCAAGATTAGGTTTAACTGGTGGCACTGATATGTTAACAAATGTAGAGAAATCACTCCGTAAGGTATAAATGGCATTTCTTAATTAAAGCTAGTAATTTGCGAACTGTTTGTAACCTGTGATATAGCAACTGCTTTTTGCTCTTAACCTGGGTTACATGCGTGCTGAAACAGGAAGTTTCACCATATGTATCTGCTGCAGAGATGGTTAATAAGTTTCAGTCTAGGACTAGAGACTTGGATATCTTTCAGAATAGATCACTTTCACATGTAAGTTACAGAATCCAAGAATTTTCTTTCACTATTAAGTGTGAACTTGCACTACCTATATTTTACAAGTAAATGAGCTACTGCAACTATAGGCTTAATGAAGTACATTAATTTGTTCTTCTTTAAAATGAGACGTTTATGAGTTTCATGGCAGAATTGAAATGACATACATAGTGATTGTTTGAATCAGCTTGAGCTTAGTTTGAGCTTCAACATGGGTATATTGTTTGTCAGTTACTTTGCTTGAAAACCTGGAAAATAGTTTCTAAAGAACTTTGAGTAGATCCAAGGGCTTGTATATATTTATATTTACACTATGTTATATGGTAGACACGTGACTTTCTAGTAGTGGGTGTGAGCACTAGATGGAACTTGACTGTGTTGTATGTGCAGATCGTACAAAATATGATCTTACTAGGTATGTAGATCTGGTTGTTGCCTATTAAAGTCTCTAGGAATCTGCTATAACATCCTTGGCCATGTAAATCTAAGATTGATATAGAGTCTTCTACAATATCTTTCAATAAAAAATTTGATGCATCATTATGGTTTATTTAGAAAAAACCTTCAGAGTAAAAAAAATGTGTTGATATCAAGACCAAATAGAGAAAATTACTGTAGATAAGTTACACAATGTTCATGCCAAGATATGCAGTTTCGAATAATACCGTCTGTACCGGGCTGTACGTACCGGTCCGTCAGCTGACCAATACACGGACCGCCCGTTATCGGACGGTATGTATATATGTATATACCGAGCGGTATACCGAACAGTATATCGCTCGGTATACTGTATCATACCGTACCGAGCGAATGTCGAAATGCCGGTACGGTACGATATTTCAAACCTTGGTTCATGCCAATGATTGTTTAGAATTATAGGCAAGCTTTATAATCCCAATTAATAAGCTCGCCAAGTTACACACTGTTAATGCCAATGATAATTTATAATTGTAGGCAAACTTTATAATCCCAATTAATAAGCTCACCAAGTTGATATCTCTATAATTGGCAACTTTCTTTTACTGGTCAAATAAGGTCCTATGATCATAACTTGCTTGAATAAATTAGTCTCTATTTTGTAACTATGTTTAACTATCTTCTGAACTTCAATAGACCTTGCTTCTATTTACATAGTTCTTGATCCATACTGTTCATGCTAGTGATAATTTATAATTGTAGGCAAGCTTTATAATCCCAATTAATAAGCTTGCTAAGTTGATATCTCTATAATTGGCAACTTTCTTTTACTGGTCAAATAAGGTTCTATGGTCATAACTAGCTTGAATAAATTAGTCTCTATTTTGTAACTATGTTTAACTATCTTCTGAACTTCAATAGACCTTGCTTCTATTTACATAGTTCTTGATCCATACTGTTCATGCCAGTGATAATTTATAATTGTAGGCAAGCTTTATAATCCCAATTAATAAGCTTGCCAAGTTGATATCTCTATAATTGGCAACTTTCTTTTACTGGTCAAATAAGGTTCTATGGTCATAACTTGCTTGAATAAATAAGTCTCTATTTTGTAACTATGTTTAACTATCTTCTGAACTTCAATAGACCTTGCTTCTATTTACATAGTTCTTGATCCATACTTCTGAGTGTTTTACTTGTTGATGTCTTGCAAGTTCTTTTGCTTTTTGCTGCTAATTTCTGATTAAATCTGATAGTTGCACACTGATATGAAGCTTAGCTCTCCATTTTCTCATACAATATGTCATTCAGAGTGATACAGCTTCAGCGGTACATAGAAGGTCTAAACTTACCTTGACGAGGCCAAAGGATCCAGAACTAGGAACAGCCCACCGGGCTCGTGCAGTGCGGATAAAGAGCTCTGCTGAACTAGAAGAAGAGATGCTGTCAAAGATCCCAAAGTTCAAAGCTCGACCTTTGAATAAGAAGGTATCCTGTTTTCCTCAAGAAACTTTATTTTTAGTCATAAGCTTCAAACTTGTACTTAGGTTTTCTTTTGTTTTGAAGATTCTTGAAGCCCCTACATTCCCTGCATTGCCCAGAAGTATTCCACAACCACCTGTTTTTCAGGTAGGATTTCTTGAATTACAATTAGCTGTGGAGGAATTAACAGTCATGATTTACTCTTTTATCAACTTGCCTAGGAGTTTCGTCTCAAGACAATGGAAAGAGCAAATCAACATGCTGAAACATCATCAGCTGTCTCCTCGCTGGATGGTGTGGTTCAGGTAGATCTCTTTGTTTCTTCTTTGTTATTTGTTGATGGTGTTACTTGTATAGTGTTACTTGATGTAAATAAATGTCACAATATGGCAGAATCAGGTCAAGCCCATACGACTTACTGAACCAAGACCTCCTCATCTTGAAACATCATTCAGAGCTCGACCTTCGAAGTATGTGAATCTCTTGCCTTATATAGTTCATCCAAACATCTCTCTTTTTTATATTGCACTGCAAGCTCACAGGATTGTCTGAATTTACAGGAATAAAAGTTCTCAGGAATCCGAGTTGGAGGAACTTGAAAAGATACCAAAGTTTAAGGCTAGACCTCTTAACAAGAAGGTTAGTCATCTGTTGTACCATGATTTTTGCCTTTTTCTTATTTATAGATTGATGTGTTTACCAATGTAACATATCCAGATTCTTGAGAGCAAAAGGGAAATAGGCATGTTTTGTAATCCAAAGCCCCAGAAAACTATTCCTCAGGAGTTTCACTTTGCAACAGAAGATAGGCTGGGTCCTCCTGCAATAGTCGTGGAGATCTTTGATAAGGTGGACATCAGAATGATTTTTTAGTATTTATCATGTAGATGGCAAGCCTTGACACCACCACAATTGGTGTGAGTTTAGGATTTGAATTCACGAAAACAGTCTGTCTGCTTGCAAGAAGGCTGTTCAGTGACCCTCCCAGACCCCACATTAGCAGGAGCCTTGGGTCACCCCTCTTATTTTGGTTGAGATGAAGTTAGTGTAAGCTAATTACTGACACATATGTTCTGGCATTTTTTTAGCTTTCACTGCATTCTGAATCGTCTAATCATGAGAAGAAAGAAGTTCCCAGAATCACTATACCAAATCCTTTTCATCTTCATACTGAGGTGTGTGAACACTGTTTGCTAATGCTGGCTTTCCATTTTTAGTAATAAAGGAAGATTCTTATGATTTTCCCCTTCTTACAGGAGCGAGGACTTGAGAAAGAGAGTCAACTTGCAGAACAGCTTTTGCAGAAAGAGTTGGAAGAAGAGTGGGCTAGGATTCCAAAGGCAACCCCCTATCCATATACCATTGATTATCCAGTGGTAAGGAGCATTATTATTCATGCATTTAACTTTTTACTCATGTGATGACAACTAAATGCGATGCCTCCACGTTTTCATACATTTAACTTTTTCATGTATATGCAGATACCACCCAAACCTGAGCCAAAGCAGTGCACAAAGCCTGAAGCCTTCCAATTAGAGAGCCTGGTAAGGCATGAAGAAGAGATGCTGAGAAAGTTGGAAGAGAAAGAAAGAACGGAAAGAGAGGAGGCACAACAAAGAATCTTTAGAGCACAAGCCATAAAGAATTTGTAAGTACCAGCACCCTATTCTCAATGTTGATAAGTTCTTAATTTTTTCTCTTTATTTGTAGAAATACTGAAAGTATGTTGTGATGTTATGGCAGTGACCATTTACCACTTCCAGAAAGAGAGAGAAAGCCTCTCACTGAAGTCCAGAAGTTTGTATTGCATGTGGATCATAGATCTGTACAGAGAACGGAGTTTGATAGAAAGGTTTGCACGATCTACTGAAAATTAATATCATCAATATCAATGTTTTATGCATCTCTTTGTGCGTGTCTGATTATTTTTACCCACTAATAACTAACCTAGTCTATGTTGACTCACTCCCTTCCATCTCAATTCCAAGTACTACTTTTTCTTACTGTTTCTTGACATAGTTGCGCATCACACTCTATATTGTCCACTTCCATCTGCGTCAGTCTAGAAACCTAGAGAATGTAAAAGAGAACAAGTTTCGAATGCTGGAACCTACAAAAATGAAGTTATTTCTGCTTCTGTCACCTGTTTTTATGTCAGATTGCAGAAACCTTAAAGTAACATATTTTATGTTAAACCTCACCCAGAAATATGTTGATACACATTGCAGATTAAGGAGAAAGAATTGAGATGTAAGAGATTAAGAGAGGAGCAGGAATCTGCAAAGATGGTGATCACTGAACTTATTTTGCAACTTGTACTTCTTCATATCACATTACAGGTTGGTTATAATGGTAGAATTTCTTCTTGTTTAAATTTTGTACTGATATAGATTGAAGAAGAGAAGGCAGTGAAGCAGATGAGGAGGACAATGGTGCCTCACGCAAGGCCTCTTCCAAAATTCAACAATCCATTCATCCCTCAAAAGTGAGCAATGAAGCAATTAGCCAAACTCAGGTTTTTTCCTCTTTCTGTTTACTGACTAGAATATATACAGATCAATGAAGCAAGGAACAAAGCCAAGGTCACCAGATTTGCATGTGAACCACCGAGTCGAGAGGCGTGCACTTCATATGCGATGATGAGTTCTGCAGCTGCTCAAGACCGAATGAACCAGAGCAGCACAGTGTGCAACATATTTATGTTGAAAGGAAGAAAATTCACAATCTGAATGTGGACAATATGGCAAGTTGTTTGTATTATCATCAAATCCTTTTGATGTGGGTCACTTGAACTTGTTTGTATTCTAAGTAGCAGTGTAGTCTGGAGGCCAACACTCCAAAACCTTACCACGTCTATGTTGTTCAAAGCCATAAATATTGAACTCTCAAAAATGAATCTAAGCTTTATGTATCATGGAGACTGCACTTTACATGAGATGATTTAACCAGTCCATTTGTACAGTATGCAACACTTTTGAGTTGTAAGGAAGAGAATTCATAATCTGAATATGGACCTATGTAGCAAGTTTGTATTCTCTGTCATCAAATCCTTTTGATGTGGATCACAACTCTTCCCTCATTTAACTTGCAAAAATGAATCCAAGCTTTGTTAGCATCAAGATTGCTACTTATTGCAGGTTAAATATTAATCAAGCAATGGTACCAAAATAGTTGTAGTGACATATTTGGTGAATGCTTATTACTGCTTTCAAATATGGATGTGATAAATACAAGGCAAATTTTTATTCGAAGAAAAATAAAAAATGAGATCGAATTGATGCAGTCAAAATTATGTTATTGCTATTATATATATATATATATATATATATATAGTTGATGGAGTAAACTATTATGGGGTGATGTGGCGTCAGATTCACAATGGACGGCTGTGATCAGCGTCAACACTAAGGCCCATTTGCGTAAAGCAGACGTCTGGGGATATATTTGGTGTATATAGAGAAACGATGAAGCCATGAGCGGATGCTCTCGTGCTCAGTACACGCTCGCCTCGGGACTCGGAGCCCTCGCTCATGCAGGAGATCACTGCGGCCTTCTCTCCCTCTTCTTTCACTCCTCCAGAGCGCAGCCCGTGAGGCCGGACCGGCCAATCTACCTCGCCCTCCTCAAGGCTGCCGCCGCTGTCTCCTCCCGTTCCACGGCCCTTTCCCTCCACGCCCACATCGCCAAGTCGGGCTTCCAACGCGATGTCGTCGTCGCCACCGCATTGGTCCATGCGTTCTCCAGGTGCTCCGATTCCGCAACTGCTCGTAGGTTGTTCGACGAAATGCTGGAGAGAGACGCAGCGGCATGGAACGCGATGCTCTCTGGCTGCGCTCGTAACGGGGATGCACAGCAAGCGCTGTCTATGGCCTGTGAAATGGCGTCCTGCGGTGTGAGGCCCAATACGGTCACGCTCTCTGTTTTGCTTCAGGTTTGTGGTGGTGTTGAAGACAAGAGGCTCGGGCAATCTGTACATGCTTATGCTGTTCGGCATCTTCAACTTGTGGACACCTTCTTGGGTAATTCCCTTGTTGTATACTATAACAGGGCTGGCGATTCTCATATCTCGGAGAGAATATTTGAGAGGATGTTGCGAAGAGATATCGTGTCATGGAATGCCATGATAACAGGACGAGCTCAATGTGGTTTTCGTTGGAGAGCTTTGGAATTGTTTAATTTGATGAGGGAGGAGCACCATCCGGATCTTTTCAGCTTAGAGACAGTCCTACAAGTATGTGCACAAATTGGGGAAGACGCCATTGATGATGGGCAGGCTACCCATGGGCTTTTGGTTAAGTTGGGATTTCAAATGGAGGTTTACGAGCAAAATTCTCTGCTTCTATTTTATTGCAAATGTGGAATGATGGAATCTGCCCAATCCATTTTTGATAAGATGGCAGCAAGAAATATTGTCTCTTGGAATATTCTAATTAATGGTTATGTTCAGATGAGGTACCTTGATAAAGTTCTTAATTTGGTTAGGTGCATGAGCTTTAGTGAGCTAGGAGTTAGTTCTGATCTCTTGGTGAGCAGTCTGCAAGCTGTTAGTCTATTAGGAGGAGGCAGAAAGCATATCATGTGCATACATTGCATTGTTATGGTGATGGGATTTCATTCTGATACTTACGTCAGTAGTTCGCTTATTTCTGCATATGGTGACAATGGAGAAATTGATTTAGCTCACAAAAGCTTCGAGCATCTAGTATCTAAAACAAGAAATGACACTGTCTGTTGGAATGCATTGCTTTCTGTATACGTTCGTAATATGTGTTTCTTAGAAGCACTTGAACATCTCAGAAGCATGCATGTCAACGCATGTAGTTTAGATGCTGTCACTATCGTAAACATGCTTTCTCTTTGTACTGGGACACTAAATTTGAGATCAGGCAAGGTTATTCATGGATTTATGCTCAGAAATAAACATGATCACAATGTTTTTGCTATCACAGCATTGCTAGAACACTATGCTAAATGTGGTGCTGTAACTGAAGCTTGTTACTTGTTCCTGGAGATTCCAGTTCGGAATAGAGTAACATGGAACACGATGGTTCACTGCTGTGTCCATAATGGCTTTCCTAGGACATCAGTGAAGCTTTTCTATCTTATGCAAGAGCAGGATGGTTTTATGCCCGATGCAACATCCGTTGTGGGAGTTATAAAGGCAATTGCTCAGAGAGGATATGAAGAAGAAAAAAACTACATTCACAAATATGTAACTGAAAGAGGTTTTACTGATGATGAGTTTGTTGCTAATTCACTTATTTCAATGCATGCAAGATTCCATGATTTTGACAAGGCAATCAGTGTCTTTGAAAGAACTAGCAAACTCAGCACAGTTACATGGAATACTATGATATCAGGGTATTCCAACTATGGTCTAGCAAACAAGGCTATGCCAGTTTACCATCTCATGAAGTTACAGAATGTTGCACCAGACTTGGTTACATTTTTATGTCTTCTTCGTGCCTGTACAACTTTATGTTCTTTGAATTGCTTAATGCAGATCCACACAGTTATATGCAAAGCTGGTTATGAATCTGACATGTTCGTTGGGACTTCCCTAGTATATGGATATGCAAAATGTGGTGATTTAAGCATGGCCCGGTTGATCTTTGATGGATTGGAATGTAAATCAACAGTATCATGGAATTCTATGATTCAGGGTTATGGTGTGCATGGAAATGCAGAGGCAGTTCATGAACTCTTCTCTGAGATGCAGCAATCTGGTAAAGTTCCTACTGTAGTTACTTTTCTCAATATTATATCAGCTTGTAGCCATGTGGGAGATGTAGAGAAGGGGAAGCACTATTACGATCTTATGACACGTGTCCACTCAGTCATACCAAACAGGGAGCTCCTTTCCTCCCTTGCTGACCTCCTTGGCCGTAGTGGAAGGCTTAAGGACGCACATGAAGTGTTGGAGAAAGGCCCCTTGGATCCAGGATTGGATGCTTGGGGTGCACTATTAGGAGCTTGTCGGATTCAAGGTAACTTAGAAATAGGAATGATAGCAGCTAACAATGTACTTGAATTGGATCCCATCCACCATGGATACAATTTGCTTTTGTCAAACATGCATGCGGAGGCTGGAAGATGGATTGTTGCATCTAAGATCAGAAAAAGAGTTGACAAAATGGGGCTCAACAAAGCTTCTGGCTGGAGCATGGTTGAGGGTTTTTTGTGATTATGGATACCAGCCTTGTGAGATTGCATTTTAAACTGGATAGAGATTCTCTATTCTAGAAGCAACAAGTTGCATTTCAGAGTGAATGATTCTATATTAAAATTAAAAGGAAATGGAATGAAATATATGTGATGTTCATGTGGCATCGTGGCTTATGAAAATTGAAGAATTTCCTACTGCATACAGCAAGCATTTCCTCAAATTGAAGAGGTATGTGATTCTCTAGTACTCTAATTGCTCACTTGGTCCATTTTCCAGTTCAATCCCTTCTTGTTTTTCCTATGAACTTTCTGCTTGTAACTTCTATATTCCTATCAGTGATGATCAATGTGGATCAAGAATGCAAGAAGTACAGGTATCAAAACCTTTTCCATTCGATGAAAAGATACAGCCGATATTAATGTTTAAAAAGTTTACACTTATATTGATAATTGTTTTGCAACTGCAATTAAGGTGTATTTATTTTTATCATAGGGGCTATCACATTTGTGACCTATTATTAATATGTTTCCACCTAAGGGTTATAGTGTCATGGAATGCTATGATTCTGGGTCTGTTCAATGCAGTTTTGGTTGGAGAGATTTGTAATCGATGTAATTTGTTGACGGAGGACCACCTTCTGGGCCTTGTCACCCTCAAGGAAACACCATCAACATATATGAAATCTGGGGAAGAGTCGTTGATGATGGACAGGCTATCCATGTGCATTCGGTTAATTTGGGATTTCAAATGCATTTTTATGTTGGAAATTTCTCTGCTTCGCTTGTATTGCAAATGTTTTATGATGAAGTATGGTGAATCCATTTGAAAGTTATTTATGCAAGAGCAGAAGATGCCACATCCACTGGGATTGCTTAGTGAGGCTATGAGGGTGAAAGAAACTACATTCACAAAATTGTAATCGAAAGAGATTTCACTTACGATGAGTTTGCTGCTAACTTTCTGATAGCAGTGTAATCAAGATTCCGATTTTGTTGAGGCAATTGATCTATATGAAAGAACTGGCAAACTCGGGATGGCTGCATAGTATATATACTATGATATCAGAGTATTCCAATTATGGCCCAGTAAACAAGGCTACCTCAGTTTGCCATCTCATAATGTTTGGCACCTGTCTTGGTTACACTATTGTCTTTGTGACTCTATACAGCTTTAGGTTCATCGAGTGCTTAATGCATACTCACATGATTATGTGCAGATCTGATATGAAGCTGACATGTTCTTGTGACTTCCATGATACATGGGTTGCAATATATGATTTGTTTTAAGCTGACATGTCTTTGTGGATCCTTGTCTCTGGCATATTGCTATTCAGACATCTTCATCAACTAAAGTTCAGATCTGCAAGGATGCGTCAAAGTGGAACCTCATCAGGACTTTGAGCTTAACTTATATTACTAACACCGATTCTTTTATGGACATACTGATATTGAAATAACTAGAATCTCTTGGGACTCCAAATTCTTCTCTTGCTAGTGATCGACAGGAGCTGGTGAGCTATCCAAATAAGTATAGTTGATGACTCAATGCTATGGTTCTGCTTCTCCTCCATCTTGTGTGGCTTTCAGGCTTTGGCCTACTGTCCGAAAATGCAAGAGAAAGACATTTGGCATTAGATTTTTCCTTTGTCTCATGATGTGCAATATTTTCCAGGCTAGTGTTCCATTTCTGGAGGATGTATATTACAACACTTCAATGACATGGCTGTCCCAATAAACTCCAAAGAATCCAGAGTCAACAGAAAGGTTGCATCATAAGGCTTTTACCATACTCCCTTGTCATACTGATTTAAGTCGGAAGGCTTTTAAAATTGTCCCATAAAAGAATGTTTTGCTTGTTGATCTGGAAATGCTTACCCTTTAAGCATATTACTATTTTCCAACGATATGTTATCCGACTCTTGATGAAGTGCACCTTCTTGCGTTGACTTTGCTGGTCTCTGTCAGCATGATGCTACCTATAGCTTATTACAGTTAGTTGTTTCCCAAACTTCAGCTTAATTGTGAATGCAATTTCATGCACATAAAATCATACTAATCAATGCTTGGAAATATGAACAATAGCAGACCATATTTATCAATAATTATGCAGGAGTTCTACACGCTTGGTGAATTGTTTCCTCAAACCAAATGACATCTAAGCTTTGCCCTTTACTTCTCTCCACAAGAGTTTGATCAATTCAATTTAATGGACTTTAAATCCCTTCTTTCTCCCTCTCAAATCTTCTAAGATTCTCCACCAGCAAATCCTTCTTTACAGCCTCCACCAAACTCTTTATGTTGATATCTCTCTCTCTCTCTCTCTCACACACACACACACAAACTTTGTGCATCTTTTATATATCTTATAAGCAGTGTAAAATTCTGGTGATTAGCGCAAATAATAGGCCATTCAAATCTGTGTAAAAATATCTCATAAGCAGTTTAACATAATACAAAAACTATTTTTAAAGATATATAATTAAATTCCTCTCTTGCAATTTCAAAGAAGCCCTCTTCTTTCTCCCTCTTTCTCTACCAGGAATTCCCTGTTTGCATCCTCCACCACACTCTTGAGTTCATAGCCTATCCCTCTTTATCTCCTGTGGCTTTGATTCAATTCCAGTTCAGTTGCGTTATCCTCTTTTTTCTCTCACCTTGTGACTCATAATCCACACACATTATAAAATGATAGATGAAGACATGTTCCGCTCCACAGACGGAATCAACAAGTATAACTAAAAAGAAAGGTGAGGCCACTGTGTTCCACATTATCCTCTGGTGAATGATCCACATAAAACACATCCCTTGTATACTTTTTTTGCTGTGAAGGACACCCAACAGATATTTATTTCAGGCCCCCTTTTGGTTTATATTCTTGTTGGAGCAGTGGCGGCTTTGAACTCTTGCTACCCCGGCCTAGTCTTACAGTCTGCCCTCTCTCTCTCATCCATCGGTCCTCGAGATTTCATAGAGGTAATCTCATCCGATCGCGTGCAATCGAACCTTTTGATTGCAATTGGATGATTAATTGCGTCAAAGTTTCATCTTTTGGATGGAAAAGTTCGTTTATGACGAGTGTTGTTGTGGCATGGAAAAGACGGAACCTTTGGTTTTAATCGTATTTGGATGGCTAATTGAATCAAAATATCTGTTTTTGGGTGAAAAAGTTATCATTTTGATGGGGTTTAGAAGTTTAGACTGATGGATTTCTTGGTTTCGTATGTCAAGAATGTCGCCGAAGCCGCTGGACTACGAGTCGCTGAACGAGAATGTGAAGAAGGTGGCATATGCTGTCAGAGGCGAGCTTTACCTTCGGGCTTCGGAGCTGCAGAAGGAAGGGAAGAAGGTTTTGTTACGCTCTCTCACTTGCTATCTTTGGTTTCGTCGTGTCAGGATTCAGGCTCACGAACGTTGCTAATTAGCAAAGTATGAGAGAGAAAACAATGATCTTTGTTGGAATGATCGAGTTTTGAGTTAATTTTCTATTTCTTTTCGCTTGTTTAAAATTTGTTCTCTTTGAGATACAAGTTCAGGTTGCAATTTGGACTTCAATTTTCATGAGAAGTGTTTTAAGTTGACATGACATGGAAAAATGATTTGCATGAGAATCATTGTTACATCTTTTTATCGATTTGAATTTTTCTGTCATTTGCAGATTATCTTCACAAATGTGGGGAATCCTCATGCCCTGGGACAGAAGCCACTAACATTCCCCCGCCAGGTCCTTTTTATCCTTTTAACAAACTAGTTGATGCATAACTGTTCAAATACATTTATTTTTCCTTCTTTACAAGTATGAATGTCTTTATCATACTTCTGTGTTTGCTTGAGAAACTTATCGGCAATCGTAAACTTAAAAGAGTCCATTAGGTGACATTTTTTTTCTCTAAATGAAGCAATTTTACCTGCTTTGTTTTCATGAAGATCTTTGGTTTAGATTTCTCTTCTTTTTTTGTAAATTAAACCCTTTTGCAGGTCGTAGCCCTTTGCCAAGCTCCATTTCTGTTGGATGATCCTCATGTTGGAATTCTCTTCCCAGCAGATGCCATCGCAAGAGCTAAGCATTATCTTTCACTGACTTCGGGTGGTTTAGGTACTCTATTGCAACCTTTTCTATGCTTAAGGAAATACCAATATATACATAAGGAGTTCTCTTCCCAGCAAATGTCTGTCCGACACCGGTTTGATAATCTACCAGACTTACGTGATGTCAGTATGCTGGGCAGTACACTGACTTGTGTCACTCCATATCATTAGATAAAATAATAAATAAAAATCAATATTATTGTACCAATTGAGTAATGCTTCGATATAAATATTTGCTCGAACTGGTAAATACCAATATGCACTAATCGGTATCATTGAGGTCCGAAACTTGCATGTTGGTATCCTAGATTTTTCTTTTTTCTTTGTATTTTGCCATACTGCAATACATAGCTTAGCTTTTTTCTACCACATTAGCTACAATTTAGGGTATTTAATTTTCATGCGAAATGTTTATTGGTGTTCTTAATTTTCAGTCTCATATTTTAGCTTCCTATTGTTTTTTATCGGCAATTGTCATGCAAAACATGAAAGACATATTGTTCAGAGAATTTTAGCTCTGAGAATTTTGATAAGATTTACAATTTTCTTCGAGCAATCAGGTGCATATAGTGATTCTCGAGGTCTTCCCGGAATCAGGAAAGAAGTTGCTGAGTTTATTGAAAGGCGTGATGGGTATCCTAGGTAACAAGATGACGACCAAGCTGAGTACATTCTCACAAAGTAACCAGGCTGCTAACTTATTATGCAATTCACTAATTGCAGTGATCCTGAGCTAATATATCTCACCGATGGAGCTAGCAAAGGTGTCATGCAGATCTTAAATACTGTAATCAGAAATGAGAAAGATGGTGTAAGATTCCTCAAGAGTCTATTACCATGTTCTTATAGAAAGCTCAAGAAGAGAAAACTTGATACTTGTCTCTTGGCTGCTATTCAATTGCATCAGTAGTTTTTTGCTAATAAGATGTAGAGATTAAACAACTATATATTGGCAGATTTTGGTTCCAGTTCCACAATACCCTCTTTATTCAGCTGCAATATCCTTGTTTGGTGGGTCTCTTGTTCCGTATTATTTAGAAGAGGAGGCCAATTGGGGTCTTGACATTAACCATCTTCGCCAATCTGTAGCAGCTGCTCGGATGAAAGGAATTACTGTAAGCTAGTAATACTTCCAATTTACATAAATTTGCATAGTTTTATGTTCTTCTTAAAGTGATTAAAAAATATTATTGTTGATGTCGGTGACTGTCTAATCAAATTCATAGAACTTCTCATTATACATCTGTAACTATTAACATGAAGAATTATATTTATTATAGTATTTTTTTAATAATCCAACCCTCCATCTCAGTTCAACTTGTCAGTAATTTAGTTTTGGTTGAAATTATTTGTTTCACATGAATCTTGATTGGTTGCTAAGCATCATCTGCAAATACGATGCCTATATTTAGTTAACTCATTCTAGATACTGTTTCAAATGAGGGAACTTATGGATCGTCATAATGAATATAACACGTAAACTTTTTAGCTCCATTCTATCTTAAAAGTATGACTTCATAAAGAAGATAAAGACATGACAACTTATCAAGCTATATTTGGCTGAAATAATTTAGTACCAGAATTGCATGCATGCCATGAGAACATTTTTCTAGCACACTAGGTATTAAGACCAACCTCTATGTTTCCTTTCGATTGAATGGGTTTGAGTTCATCTCATAATGATAGATTATTTTCTCAATTATACGTAATAAGTCGCTTCCACCTGAATGTTTAAGTAAAGAACCAGAAAGCAGCAAATATTCAGTTCTATTAACATATAATTTAGACCTGTTACCAATACTGTTCTCAGTGGCTTAATCATATAGTAGTTCTCATTTATTTTCATGGTATAGAAACGTGCTTATAGAATTCCATATTTTTCATATGTAATGAATGCTTTTTGAACTTTATTCAGAATTGTAAATGATGCTGCTGTGGGTACAGGTTCGAGCTATGGTTATTATCAACCCAGGAAACCCCACTGGCCAATGTCTAAGTGAAGCCAATTTAAACGGATTGTTAAAATTTTGCTTCCAAGAGAACCTAGTCCTGCTTGCTGATGAAGTTTATCAACAGAACATATATCAAGACGAGAGACCTTTCATAAGTGCAAGAAAAGTATGGATGCCAAATTGCATGTTCATATCTTATAAATTCTTGTAAGCACTATATATAATGGGTTCTACTTTGACCTAAAAACTATTCAATACTGCAGATATTGTTGGACATGGGCCCACCTATGAGTAAAGAGGTCCAACTTGTGTCCTTTCACACTGTATCGAAGGGATACTGGGGAGAGTGTGGTCAGCGTGGAGGATACTTTGAAATGACTAACATTCCTGCTAAGGTAATTTTGTTCTTTGCTGATGCATGCTTTTTTCTGTGAATTACATATGATAAAGGATACATTGCGTGAATCACCGTCTACACTTTTGCTACCATAACCAGATGACTTATGCTAAGGATAGTCGATTGCTCTCAATTCTATAATTCAAATATTCTGTATGATTTAAATTTGTTACAGACTGTAGATGAGATCTACAAGGTTGCATCAGTTTCGCTCAGTCCAAATGTTCCTGGACAGATCTTCGTAAGTTTAATTTTTCTTGTCAACTTGGTTTAGTTTAAAGCTTGATTTTTCCTTGTACAACACTTGTTATATTATGAGATAAGAAGTTTGTTTACTTTTCAGATGGGGCTGATGGTTAACCCCCTCAAACCAGGAGATATTTCTTACTTGAGGTTTGTTGCAGAGAGGTATGATAAGCAACTTCTAGGATGAAAGTTTTTGCTTCTAACATTCAAAAATTTTTTGTTTCTAAATGCATCAACATTACAAAAATTAAAAATCGATGATGTT